CATACCTTGCTGCATATGAGACCAGTCACAAGTAACAGGTTGAACAATAACAAAGGAATGCTTTTGTTGCAGCTCAGTTGACTAGCGTGTGACTTGAATTCAGACTGGGGGTCTAGTGTGTTGGTCTTATGAAGGTCTTCAGTGATCTCGACTAAAACACTGTCGCGTAATTTCATAGTAAGCATGATATGAGCACAGATCGCCAATATTGCCACTCACCACCACCCCAAAAGGATGACCGTTGTTCACCTTCCAATTCGGAAGTATGAAATGGGTCTACATATCCATCGATTAGAATTGCCGGTCGGAAGACCCAGGGTGGAGTTGAATTTATTCCATCACTCACTACTGTCAACAACAAAATGGCACCATGTAGACTCTTTCGTTATCCGTTAGTTCAAAGTCGGTCGTTGGATTTACTCTTGGCATCAATTCGCTTGCGGAAGTTTGGCCTAGTACTATACGAAAGATATATAAGTATCGTATCAAGTGGATATATTTTGAATATTAAAACCCACCGCAAAGGTCCAATGTCCAACTCATTATCGGCCTCTTGAGCTTAGTTGTTCGCTAATAGGAAACGTCAGTCTACATAGAGGTATAGGTCATAGTGGTATTGGACGAACTCTTGTATTGCGAATAGGTGAATGCTATCAGTACAGCGGCAGCCCATATCCAGGCCATGCAGTGATACACACAATTCAATTTGTTGTTTTTAGAGAGACTTTCCATAGAAATTTGAAGTGGAGTTGTGAGGGACTATCCGTGTTTCTGTTTTTGTGACTACACAGTCGATCAGGAATTCCCAGGATCAATGCGGGACCAAAATTAAGGAAAAGCGGAATCGGTTTTATTTAGATCAAGTGAAAAAAAGATTTTCTGGAGGAAAACACCTCCATCATATGGTTCTGGGCTAATTTCGAGCCAACTACATGAAGGCTATAGCCCGTCTCCAAAATTCTCCGAGGATGTTGGAAGTTGACAATTAGTTCTCCCACCTTCGCCTCGGGATCTAATTTTTCAATTAGCCTTTTGCAAATCACAAAATATGGAGGGCCCGACGTTTTGATCCTAGCAGAATCTTTCTCAAAGGCAAAATAACAAGTTAAACGTCAAATTTGAATAAAATCTGGCATACTCAGTTATCCGATTGAGCGTACATTAATAGCAATTTCAATTCCCCAGACTAGAGACATATGTACGTCATGATTCCGGGCAAGGCTTTTCCATAACGACCTATACCCAGCAAGAAATGAGACCGAGGGGTACATGTCCAATCCCTATACACATTCCAGACTATTGTTACTCAACACCCCCCCCCCCAGATGTCTGAAAGGAATTCCCCAGATTCCTGCGAGACAATGACCAACACAAAGCAGGGGGTTCTCTCCGTCTCATACCTAGCTTGCTGCATGTGTAACGACCACCATCTCCACATGGTCCCTTGTGCCTCTTTTTATCCATTGAAAAAACTCTCTCAGTATAAGGCGTCTGTTGTAATTCAGCAAAAGCTTACCCCGGATCACGAGGTAGACCTGTGCCTTTCGCATTTAGATTTCAAATGGTTATATTCACGTGAATTTAAAGAATTCAGTGTACCGGATTTTTTTTTCAAATTTAACTCGCAGAGGCTTACTTCCGATACAAAGGGGATTCAATCGATTGCTTTTTGTTTGATTCTCTTTCGTACGGGTGCAAACCACTAATTCAAGCGAGAGTTTCTGGCCAGCTCATTAGCATTAAAAGTGCCCCCACATACATCTTTTGAAAAAGGAGATTGTTTGGCCCCAAAATGGTAAGATTGTGTAAATCCTTGCCAGGATCAACTCCCTGGGTCTTTGAGCTTTCATATGAAAGCAAAATAGCTAAAAACTACAGTTGAAAAACGGTCCTCAGTGCCCGAGAAAGTTGAGGGTTGCCACTTGAAATGGCTGCAATCAGACTTCGGAAAATCACTTGGGGGGGTTGTTTTGTGGGAATAATTGAAAATGTAATTGGTTAATCCACAAAAAATTGAAAAAAAAATTGAAAGATTAGTGACCAGACAAGAATTTCATTGGTGTTTCAGAAATCTCAGGGATGTTGGCGTGCGTGTTATTGGGCCTTGAACAGTGCTGATTTTACAATGTTTTCAATGGGGCTTGAATCAGTGGACTGTACCCTTAGGCTTGTACTTAATCTAATCCACCATGGTCGAATAGGACTTGTAGAGCCCAACATGAATGGCAGCGATAATAAATACGTGATATGAGTTCCACCAATCAAATGACAAGGACCTAATACCTGCGTTACATAAATCAGGCTGTTGCCCGAGTGAGCTGTGCAATAGACCACTAATAATGAACCGGGGATTCAGCTCAATATGCATAACGAATAGTAAGTAATTTTGTTTTATCCTTCAGACGTAATTTCGATACTTAAGAAATGTTGTTTATTCATACTGCATATTTTTACACGACATGTATGTTAATTTCTAGCATAAAGAAATTAACTAAATGAAACATGAAGCCTTATTAATAAAATAAGTACCTTATTATGTATGAATGATTTCCCTCTAAGAGGCTTTAAATAGTTTGTAGCAGGAATGATAAAACTCATTTGCAAGTGCAGTTGTTATATAACGTACATGAATGTTGCTAGAATACTTCAGTCGCGCTGATATTATGTGGCAGTACACTGCAGTTATTACTCTTGTGTGTGTGGGTTGGTGGAAGAATTGTGAACAAGCGTTCACTCGGTGTGTGGGTTTCGTGGGACTTTTTCACTCTCGAGATGGCCGCCATGTGAAGATCTGCTCAATAACCCTGGGACTAAACCACCCTGAAAGGAAGGAATTCTGCTACTTACGAGGTACATTCTTTGCCAACACATTGACTGGTAAGGGCACACGCATTAAGGAAGTAATCCCGAGCCCAACTCTTCATCGAGATCACTACAGATATAGAAAATTATATCGATCGTATTTCAAACCAGCTTTTAAAAACAAGCCTTAAAAATGTTAAGAATTGGGAAAAACTAAGCTATTCTTTCCATGTATGACTGTAGGTCGGAGAAGTCGCTAGGTATTGGGTAATCAAAGGCTAAAAAGTCTTCTTGATAGACTTTGCAAATTTCCTTGATAAGTTTTGGTGGCACTTGTGAGAAGTATTCCACCAGTCGAGTGGTGTTGGCGCTGCCGCTGTAGGGCTTTGGATAACCGTACTCTACCCGACCTCCGACACCAAGCTTGTCGATCAAGTAGGCCGTGTCGCTCGGAAGAGTCTCCAGTTTACCGATGAAGTCGTAGCGCACCTGACAAGGCTGGGACAGCTGGAAGATGGGCGAGAAATGCTCGTCGCCAATCAGGCCAGATTTCTCTTCCAGGAGGTACCTTAAGAACTCCGTAAAGGTCAGGTCCGGCACGGCAGGTTTCGGGGCTTTCCTGCCCCGGAGATGCAGTATAATCTTGTTGGCCGTCTTGATGTTCCAGTTGGTGGGCAGTTTGACGTACTTGTCTCGGAATCCGGACAACAGGCGCAACAACGGGTTGCGGACAAACAGGACCTTCGTGTTGCGCTGCAGTTGGTGCGTTATGTCGCTTGAGGGCCGCTTGCGCAATGGTTTGAGTGCTTCCCAATTTCTTTGGAAACCCTTGCTGCTGATCCTGAACAAATCTGTCATGAACCGCCTCCAGTTGGACGAACCAACCTTGCGGATAATCGTCACGGTCAAGTTGTAATCGTCGTTGATGTAGGTGTTCCCTAGCAACCACTTAAACGTCGCTGGGTCCAGTAGCGGCCTCGTGTGCAGGTTCAATGCCGGGATGTGCAGGACGTCTCGGCAGACTTGTTCCAGGTGCCTCTGGCGCTCCGCTTGGACAGCCTCGGTCTCACTCCTCGAGTAAACAAGTGGTTTGTTGGCACTGGTGTTCACCTTCAGGTAATCCCATTGGTCCTGGTATCGCAGCTGGCTTTGTTGTCGTGAGATTGCACGAGGCTTTGAGTGAGTCTGCTCCCCAGGTCTCAGCGCCAGATGATGGCGTCTCATCAAGGACCTAACTTGCGATCTACTGCCATCCTGGTGTTAGGAAAGACGTATATAAAATGATTAATATATTTAATTACATGTATCTAAGAAACCACAATCATTCACAGCTGACCTCACAAAAAGTTCGCAGCATATTTTTGAACTCGTCCTCTGAAATAATAAACACTTCCACAGTCGTTCGCAGAGGCTGCGACTCTGAAATAATGAAATGGGCCGCAAAAGGAGACGGAGCTGCCAAAATTACATACAAAAGACTCAACCTCGTCTAGAGCGAGTGTACAAATCGCGGCAGTTGGAAATTGGGTCCAAAACATTCTTGACGGTTTATGCATTTGCGATGGTCGCTCAAACGGAATGGCACTGAATTAAACGAAGAATATCATTTTCAAGTGGCTTTTATTGATGAAGAACTTCATGTCAAAGAAATCATGGTTGGAACTATATCCAGCAGGGTCAGACGATAGTAACCTACGATGAAAATTGCCGGGGTAAAAATTTAACCCAAGGAAGGGCGAAAATTTGGGGATTACAGTTCATTTTCCACCCACAAAATGGGGGAAATTAACCACCTTATGGTTAACATAAACCAGAAGTTAATTCCAACAATCCAAATTGGGTTGAAACAACTCATTTCGGGAAGTAGCAGTTTCCACCCTCCCTCGGGTTAAAATTTAACCTAGGCAATCTGTCACTTTAACGCACTGGGTCGATATAGAGGGCTGCCATCTTGCAGGCCAGTTTGTTTGTTCCACAGGGTACCGGTGTGCATGCGCAAAGGAGGTTTCCCGGTGGAAAAACAAGACTACCCTGCAAGATGGCTACCACGCAAAACCTCTATTGCGTCCTGCAGTGTTTATGGAAAACTGGCAGACGCACAAGTGACGATGCTGAGGTAATGATCGTTGCGATTGCTTTCATTAGGTCACGGTGTCACGAAGTGTTTGAACAATGGACCCCGCGCTGGATGAAGAGAGGGCGTGATTTTCCTAGCAACGAAGGCTCCTTCCGTGGGAAAACTTCGATTAGCTGGTTCCCGAACGATATGAGATGCATGTGTTGCTAGCGCGTCGCCCTATGGTCGCTACCAACAAAACGAACACTCCCGACCAGCAAGACTTTTCCCAACCGAAGAGGAGGTGCTTCTGCTCATTGCGGATAGGAACCTACCTTATATTTCTTCGTGATGTTTTTGCGATGATTTGTGATGCCAGCATCGGAACGGGACTGGAACGGTGTCGTCAGTTCATGTCGCTTCTCTTCAATGACAGCATTTTCATCCACATCATGGAGACCAACTGTAAATATTCGCACATGTGACCTGATCCACAACATTAAGTCTTCAGGACAATTATAGCTATCATTAGTTTGAATTAAAAAGTTGGAAATGGACTCCCATGATTTGATATTTCAATCGTGTCGGCACCCTGATGATTATAGATATTATGTGGTGTGAACATGCTTCAAAGAATTCCTTTTGATTTTATTGTAAATTATTCTGGGTTTTTGACTTAAAAGTTGCTCTGGCGACCTCTGACTTATATTTGTGAGGTCTGGTCATTTTGAAAATTCGGTCATTTACGTTTGCATCCACTGAATGAATTTAACTGAAAAACAGACGACTTCATGATATCGCCATGCCCATGTCCCTTCGGGGTCATAATACTTCCATTCACTACTATGGCAGTTTAACCTTGTTCTCGGGTCACATTAGGCTTTCGAAATAAACGGAAAAACTTCTTAAAAGCTGTCAAGGCGTGGCATGGTATCTAGTGTAGCTTTTTCTTGGTCGGCCCTATACGGGCCTCGAGCTGGACTAAGAGAGGGCGCTATTTTCCTAGCAACGGAGGCTCCGTTTGTCAAAACTGAACTTCGCTGGTTCACAAACGACTCGGAAATGCACGCGTCACAGTCGCAATGCTACCAACAAATGGACTACTCCCAACCAACACGGCTCTTTTCAACCGACGAGGGGGGGGGGTTCCTGCTCGAGGCGGATACCTACAAAAATAAATTTGGGTGATAGAGTCGAAGGGAAATGTAGGCCAGTGCTCCTACAAGGGAACCGGACAGGGGCAACATCTTCAGCCGCACCAATACAGGATGTAATGGATAGGCCTAGATTCTGCGCCTGACATTATTATGTTGCGATTTCTTACCGTTTCCATCATACCAATTCTTCGGCCGGCCGGGTGGCAGTAGGCCTAGAGCGATGTAGCTCGTTGAAATAACTGTTCCGACCGTAAGGAGTACCACGCAGCATTTCAAGCTCCTCAACTTGAAAGCACCGTTCAGCTGTGTTGCCCCCCGTCGATGGACGACCAAGTGAACCGTCGCTTCAACCTTTGGCGAAAGGTATGAAAACCAAAACGAGAAGATGAAAGAAAAAGAAAAGGGTAGGAATGCAGAAAGATAAGAAAAACAAGTCATGAATGGAATTTGGAATAATGGGTTTAAAAAGGAGTTCGATTTAGACATTTTAAGGTTATGATTAATCACTGGTAACCTTAACTCTGTTCGTGACATCAGTGTTGGACGAATCAAAGTACCGTGGGAAACCAATTACCATGGGAAACCAATGAGAAGAAGGTGCATCCGAATTTTCGAAAAGAGCTGTTTGACAAAGTTGCTAAACACAATGCGTACACAATGCGTACGTACCCTTATCAGAAGACTCCGAAAGAGATTGTTGATGATTGGAGCTTGCTTGAGCAAAAAATACCTCGCACAAGGGGGGGGGGGTGTCGACAAAGGTCAAGGCGGCACACTTTCTATACAAATCCATTGCAAGCAGCGATCACTCAAATCATACATTCAAACAGATATACAGGATTCGTTATTTCAAATTAATCAGAGTTTTACATACCGAGTGTGGCGACCCTCCTTCCATGTAGACGATGGTCTGGTATCAAGTCTTCTCTTGTTTTGGAGATAGATCATTTGTTTTTGTTTTTCAGGCTCAGGTTGTTCAGGCTCCTCAAGATCTTGTTTGAATTCAAGCAACCTGTTCTATAGCCCGCACTGATCCACTTTAAACCTACAACGTCATTTGGCAACCTGTTTGGCGATAGGAGTGGATCCTCTGCCCACAGCAACAGAAGTACACATCGCATGCACGTAAATCCTACAAGAAACTCCGTATCGATCATTAGCTTGCACAAAGCATTGTGTCTGTTCAGACTGTACGAAGGGACACAATGCAATCAATAATGACGTCCGTCCTCATGTTGCTTAGGCTCTTACCTTTTTATCTTATAGGAGTCAATCTGACTGCAAGCGACAGAAACACCAAAACAAAGTAACATAAACTAAAAGAAATCAAAAACGCACATAAAAACAAAAAAACATTGACATGGGCATCTCTCAGCTAGCCACACGTACCTACATGGTTTGTTACTAGAAACGGCAGTCTTATTAGGCGATTCATACTCGGCGCAAAAGCGAAAATTAACGCGAATTTGTGAGTTCAAATAAAGTTATTCGCGGTGCAAATTCGCAAAAGTTGAACATTATTTCAACTCGGGCGAAATTTCGCCGCAAATCTTCAGTGACGTCAAATTCGCTTCGCATTCACGTTCGCCTGTGGTATGAACTGGCTTTTAGGAATGTAAAGGCTTTTCCATACATTGAAGAAATATACAAAAATGAGGGAAAAAATCAATGCAGGTACACTTTAAAGGGTGTTCCAATAACCAATACACGTTAAAACACCGACTCTCGGGACGCACGCAAGTTTCACTCACTTTCAATCAGCCATCAGCGGTCATACTTCGCACATGCGCACGCGCTTAATGGTGCACACGAGCACAAGTACTGACCGGTTGTGCTTTTGCCACACCTTCGTGGACTGCATGGAGGTTGAGACTCAGCCTGAATGGGGTACTCGCTTAGGGACTTGTCATGCATATGATCGGCGAAAGAGACCGACTGATAATGCGAACACAATGATGGCGTCGCCACTATGCATGTTGTCCACTCGTACGTTCCGCAACAGCGCTTTATCATAAGGGTGCAGACCACTAATTCAAGTGAGAATTT